CAGCCACGGCCCCAGGGGTGGATGTGACTTCCAGCTCAGGCCCTGGCCAGGGCCGTGGGCACCAAGGCTCCCACCCATGACTTCCGCCTCGGGGCCTGGACCTGGCTGGAGGGGAGCCCCCCGGGACCAGAGGTGGAAGGCGGGACCCTCTGGCCCCAGGTGGAGACGTGTGAATCCACCTCCGCCCCCACTTCCCAGGGTCACGCCCGGTGGCACGGGCCTCTCCGGGGGACACCAGGCCTTACCTTCTCCAAGTAGTTAAACTCCATGGCGATCTCCCGGAAGAAGAAATAGACATGGCTGCCCCACTCCACGGCGTGGACGAAATAGGGCTCTGCAGAGGGGTGGGGGGGTCAGAGCCCAGCCCCTGACATGACAAGGGAGTTTCTGGGGCTGAGAACTCATCAGCTTTTATGGTGAAGGGGGGACCTAGGCTGACTCCGCAGGGTAAACAAAACAGACTCAAAGTTTTTTTTTTTTGGTTTTCTTTTGCTGGAAAAGGGCTGTCAGAAGCCTGAAATCACAGCGTCTACTCCCCACAGACAGCGGCATCGACTATTTTTTGTTACTTTCCTCCCTCGTGTGTTGAAAAGCTCAGCCCTGCTATATTCCTCCTGTGGTTCCATTTCGGGATGCTAAGCCACCCACTTCCAGCGGGTTCTACTTCAGATCCCACTGAAATTGTTCCTCTAGCTTTATCTTCAAAGGGCCAACAGATTCCAAAGATGAGATGGAAGTCCTCTCCTGAGCGGCCCCTGAGACTTTTATTCTAGTGGGGGGATCTGATGAAGGTCAGCCCTGCCAGGCCCGCACCCACTGCCCTTCTGGGCTTCACCTTTGAACCACTTGGAGTCGTGTTTCACGGTGCGCAGGGTGGGCCGGTCCCCGAGGCTGCGGTAGATGACAGCGTCGATGGCTAGGAAGTCGGTGACAGTGGCTGTGAAGAGCATCCCGTCTGGATGGGGAGGGTGGGGGGCGGTGGAGGTACGAGGTGGTAGAGGCGGGGGAGGGGCTGAGTGAGTCCAAACTCAGTCCCAGGACTGAGCCCCGAGCCTGGCGGAGCCCGGGCCTCTAGGCTGAGCCCTGGTTCCATCCAGTCCTGACCCTTGCTGGCGCCTGTCCCTGCCGAAGCCCCAAAGCCGGCTGAGATTCTGCCCATTTCACAGCTGGACAAATGGTCACCCCGCTGCCTGCCAAACGACCCAGACTCCGGAGGGGAAAACGCCCGGCGGTGCTCCGGGCTGAGCGGAGGGCCAGAGGCGGGAGACACTCACCTGAGAACAGGGCGACGTTGGCGTGCTTGGGGTCGTAGGGGCAGCGGGCCATGCCGCTGATGGTGTCCCCGATCGGCCGCAGCGTGTCTGTCTGCAGGGGAAACGGGGTGTGAGCGACAGCTCCCTCCACGCCTGGCGCCCCCGGCCCCCACCCCCGGGGCATCTTGGCTCCGCCCTGGACTGCTGGGTAACCTCGGCTGTTCACGTCTCTGGGCCTCCACGGATGGGGCCGGTCTGTAAATGGGTCCGAGAGTCCATCCTAGTTATAGGACTGACCGGCCGGTAGCGTGGCTGGCTGCGGTCTTCCTGATCCCTGGAAGCCACTGACCCCTCTTGGGCGCAGGGCGGGGAGGGCACACCCAGCCAGCCTCCTGCAGGAGGTGACGCGGCCTCTCGCGTGGCCAGTGGGAGGCGGGCAGCCCAGGCCCAGCGGCGGGACCCGGGTGGGCAGGACGGGCACTCACGCTGTAGTTGGCGCACACCGGGTTGAAGGCGTTGGAGCCGCACACGAAGAGCGTGGCCTGGTCGCGGAGTAGCAGCACCTT